TTCTTGACGTTAAGCAGCGAGGATTTTTTCCGAATATTTTTTAGGATCTTCCAGGACACCGTCCCAAATGCCAAGCTAAGCCCAGCAAGTCGCCAAAATCTGTGGCGCCTGCGAGCTCTGCCGCTAGACTTGAGGCTTGATCCCACTGCCAACATCGGATCGTAAGAAACCAGGGGCCGAATACCCACCAGAAGCCGCTGTTTTCCCGCAATGGATCTTTGCGCGGGCTGGGTTCCTCTTACTCTGAATCATCGTGGACGTGCAGGGCGACGCGGCGATGCCTGCACAGAGCCGAAGGGATGAGGTCTGACCATCTGGCAAAGTTTAGATGGCAATGCGCCTGCCTCAGATTGGCTTGCTTTCGAAATATCTTCGCATGGGATGGTCTCAAAGAGAACTTTGCTAGCAACGCTTTTTCGTTGTTGTTTCCCTTGACCAACCAAAAGGGGGTGCCCCAAAAAGAGACACATCTCCATTCCATTCTCCCGAAAAGCGAAGCAAAGCTTTGCATGGGCCTGAACTGGATGCGTAGCCGCTTTGATTGCTAGTGGCCGTGGCCTTCGGCTCTTGGATCAAACCCAAAGGGAGCCGGGTCCCCTACGGCAACGGCTTCCTTTTGAGTTTCCTTCCGTTTGTGGTTTGTGGGGTTCCCCCCAAAGGCACGCCCATGCCAATTGACCGCAAAGCCCTGGCTCATAGGGGCATCCCGTTTTGACGATCCTTCACTCCCATCCTGGTGATCCAAAAAAGCCGAAGCTTATTTTTATCCACCGATTTTCTCCGCAGCGGCAGCGCACAGGACCAGACCATGGTCTTGTGCTGCTTCGCCGTTATACATCTTGTCGTCTTGTCGTCTTGTCGCACGCGCAAGTCGATGGAGAAGTCGTCGTGGCTTTTCGTCATGCCCGGCCTCGTGCACATTCACGGAACCCCCGACATCCATTCACGAGAACTCGCGCCCGCAGCGGGCAAGAGTGTTGCACACGCTCGAGGCGCGAGTTTTACAAAACGCAGGTGGAAAAGGAAGAACGAACACATGTTGAACAAAAACATGTTCCGGCCCTGGAAGCTCCCATCCACTGGAAGGTATGAGATTTGTTTTACTTGGCAAACTACGCAGCTCACCAAGCGCGAGTGGGGAACATATGTTTGTTAACCACGCGTGGTGAGTAAGCGATGCTTGCAAGCGCTTGCTCTGCAATTGAGCGCAGCACAATGGGACAAACTCAAACGCAAGCAAGCAACGGCACACTCGGAAACGCAAGCACGAAGCGCGAGCGCAGCCCAGAAGCACAAGTGAAGGCAGAAACACACACAAACACAGCGGGGGCAGCAAAACCAGCAGAAACACAAGCAGAAGCAGAAGCAGAAGCACAAGGACAAGCGCACGCCAAGGCGCACGGCACGCCAAGGCGCACGCCAAGGTGCGCGCAAAAGCGCAAGCGCAAGCGCAAACGCAGAGCCCTAAGCACACACACACACAAACACAAGCGCAGACAGACACACAAACACAAGCATAGGCATACGAACACACACACACAAACACAAACACGGGAAAAGACACAGAAACAATCAAACACAGACACAAACACAGCCGCATACACACACACACAAAAACACAAGACAAAAACAAACAAACATACACACACACACACACAAACCCACACACCCACACCCACACACACACGCACCCGCACCTGCACCCGCACCCGCGCACGCACACGCACACGCACACGCGAACGCACCCGCACCCGCGCACGCGCACCCGCGCGCGCGCCCGCGCACCCGCGCACGCTCATGCGCACCCGCGCACCCGCGCACCCGCGCACCCGCGCACCCGCGCAACCGCACACCCGCGCACGCGCACGTGCACGCGCGCGTACGCGAACGCACACGCCACACACACACACACGCGCGCACACGCACGCGCCACACTCGCACACACGCACACGCCACACACGCACACACACGCACACACGCACACACGCACACACGCACACACGGACACACGCACACACGCACACACGCACAGGCGCACACACACACACACACGCACACACGCACACACACACACACACGCACACACGCACAGACGCACACACGCACACATGCACCCACGCACACACGCACACACGCACACACGCACACATGCACACACACACACACACTCACACACTCAGACACTCGCACACTCACACACACACACACTCACACACACACACAGTCAGACGCACAATCACACACAATCACACACAATCACACACACACACAATCACACACTCAATCACACACACACAATCACACACACACACACAAAACAAACACACAATCACACACAAAGGCACACACACACAAACACACCGCGCGCACGCACACACCCACACACACACACGCGCCCACACACACACAACCACCCACCCACCCACCCACCCACCCACCCACCCACGCACGCACGCACGCACGCACGCACGCACGCACGCACGCACCGCCCACCACCCACCCACCCACCCACCCCACCACCCACCACCACCACCACCCACCCACCACGCACACACACACACACACACACACACACCACACACACACACACACCCACACCCACACGCACACGCACACGCACACGCACACGCGCGCGCGCGCACGCGCACAGCGCACGCGCACGCGCACGCGCACGCACGCGCGCACGCACACGCGCACGCGCGCACGCGCGCGCACGCACGCAGCACACGCGCACGCACACGCACACGCACACGCACGCGCACACGCACGCGCACGCGCCCACCCGCACGCACGGGCACGCACAGGCACGCACGCGCACACGCGCGCACGCGCACACGCGCACATGCGCACACGCGCACGCGCACACGCGCACACGCGCACTCGCGCGCACGCGCACTCGCGCGCACGCGCACACGCGCACACGCGCACGCGCGCACGCGCGCGCACGCGCACACGCCTACACGCGCACACGCGCACACGCGCACACGCGAGCACACGCGCGCACACGCGCACACGCACACGCACGCACGCACACGCACACGCACCAACACGTACCAACACGTACCAACGCGCACCAAGGCGCACCAACACGTGCCAACACGCGCCAACAAGAGCGAACATGCCTCAACACGCGTGAATCCGCACGAACACAAAGCAGCCTGCACCAACACTCACCAACGCCGACCAGCACTCACCAACACGCATTAAGACGCTCACGGACGGACGGACGCAGGCTCGCCCCCCGCGCTCACGCCCGCACGCGCACATGCACACTTGCCCGCCCGCACGCATGCACACACACACACAAACACCGCGGAAAGTCTGGACGCAGAAAGCAGGGCATTGACCTGATTTCAGCACGACTTCTGTTTTGGGGTGGGTGCAAACATTCCGGAGCCAGCCTTTGCCGACTTACACATTTTAACCAAAGACCCATTTTTCTCCAAGTTGATGGAACCGCATAGAAAGCAAGATGCACCGTCACTTTTCAAAGGAAAGCAAGGGTAATTACGATGGATGGAATGGAGGGGTTTCCCGATGGTGCAGTGGATTCGGAGGGTCCCGACGGACACGCTACCATGCAAGTCCGTCAGACCTTTCGGCTAGGCACAGTTTAGCTTTTGCAGCCCGGCGCAGGTTTTTTGCTAGCTCCAAGGTTTGTCCCACCGGGTGCCCAAAGCTTGCCATACGCTTGGGGCGCTCGTCTCCATGTTCATATGGAGCGGAACACGGCGAATCTCGGACAAGTCCTTGCGCATATGATTGACTTGCCTGATGAAAAAAAGCGCACCTGCGTGTTACTTGGCACGATGTGTTTGCGTGAAACGCTTGTCATACAAAGTGGTTGCACGCACGGTTTTTTCTTGGGGCCCACGGTCATCCCTTTGAACCCTCGAATCCTTAGCGCTGCAAAACCTGGGGAGTTGTTGGGGACCCCACGCCAGCCGGATCTTGGGCAAGCCGACTCCTTGAGGGGGAAACGTGTGGGGTAAGTTCGGAAACCCAACCACTAAACCACCTAAAAAACAACAAAAAACAACTAAACACAACAAAACACAACTAGAAACAACTAAAAACCTAAACCCTGGGAAGGATATTTTTTTGGGCACGGATGAACCGTTTTCCTCGCCAAGTTGCTGCAGCTTGTTTTTGTTTTGTTTTGTTTGCATTTCCTCACAGCTTTGTCTTTTTTTCAATGATCAGTGCAATCCCGACCTGGACATAACAGGGTTCCACTTTTTGATCCGGATAGACTTAGACCCGCGGGTTTCCCTTTGCGGGACACCAGCCTATCCTTGGGTTCAAGTGTGTCTTGGGGTAGTCAAAAAGCGGAACTCTGCGCATAGCTCTTTCCAGAAAAGACCAGCCTTCCGGAAAGGATGTCACCTGAACATTTGTTGAATTCTGAATTCTGCTACTCTTTGTTTGTTTTCAAGGACTGCTCAAAGGCCTTGAATAGCAAACTGGTGTGGTTTGCGCAAGCAGCTTGGATGGTTCTCGTCGAACCATTCTGGACGGGGGAGAGACAGAGAGGTGTGAGTGAGGGAGAGAGAGCGAGAGAGCGCGAGAGTGAGACTGCTGGCCAGATTCTTTTCGGCACACGTCAGGAGGATGCAGTGGTGGCCTCAAGTGAACCATCCAACTCGTTTTGGGCCTCCGAAGTCCGGATGTCTTTTTTCTTGGTTTCCCTAGCCCGAGAAGCCCTCAAACCGTTCAAAGCCCGCAACCGGCAAAGAAGTAGCACCCCTTGGGACTCTTTAAGTGCGGCTTCCATGGTTCAACCTCTTGAGGGCATCCGGCTGGCCTGGTCAGGGTTGGTTAAAACCACCATATTTTCGGGGAGTTCTCCATGTTTTGCACATCAGGGGGGTCTTTTTGCCACCTTTGGAAAAATGATCGACCGATCGACCCCCTTGTGAAGGATCCCTCCAAAAGACCCCCCTGTTGCACGGTCTATTTTTCCGGTCTATTTTTGTTTGCCCTTCGCTCCATCGAGCTAGGCCGGCTCGGTTCGAGCGCCGTGCAAGAGAAAGAAGGCTTGTGAGGCCTGCGTTTCAGCGAGAGCTCGTGTTGTACGCAGTACATCCATTTGCGTTTTTTTGTTTTGTTTTTTAATCCTGTTGGTTTTTAGAGGGAATCTATCACTACTGGATATATTTTTATTTTTTCCAAGGGGCTTAAGCAAATGGAAGTGTATGACGCATGTATGGGCTCACTGACAAACCGTCGACATGTGAGACCGAGGGAACCACGGGGTTGAGACGAGGAAACGGGAAGCAGAGCTTGCCACTCTGGTGCAACACACCGGTTTCGGATTTGGGACATGAGTGGAGCTCGTCTCCGCGGCCCTGCCTTTGCCTTTCCAGGCAGATGACGAGCCCGCGGCGCCGGCGCTGCGAAAAGCCAAGTCCGTGCGGCAAAAAGCTGCCGGCTGGGTCAAGCAGAAAGATGCATGGCTTTTGGTGGCCATGCAGAAATCCCAAAAGCAAACGGAGGGCAACATACCCCACGCACTTGACAGGGACCCGGTCGCAAGAGGAAATTCTAGCTTCCAGGTAACCTCCCATTGGTGCCTTCTCTTAGGGTAAATCCTGTGGCAACATTTATGACATTTGTTTACTCACAATGTCGAGTGCTTTGTGGAGGAGGTACTCGCACTGTGGCTTCGGTTTGGGGCGAGTTCTCGCTTCGGAAAACTCTGCTAAGAGGTGCCTATGCTAAAACGAGCAAAGGGGAACCACTCGTTTTGGGCTCTACAAAGATACCCCCCAAAAGAAAAACACAAAACAACTTGTTGGTTTCCCCTTACCACCAAGCACACCCATGTGTCACAGAGCTTTCCGTGGGTCATGCGCGCATCGGATTGCATCCTTCTCCAGAAGCGTGAGACACAAAACACACAAACATGATACCATCCCATCCAACATGTAAACTTAGGTCACCCATACGGCTGGTTTGTTCTGGGGTTTGTCACCCTGCCTTTCGCAGAGGGATTTTGGGTTCAGATGTTTCCCACCACTCCAAACCATCGCTTCGGCAAACCACAGCCCGATTCGGCTTCTTGCGCCGGGGAACGGGGCCGTGGGCGCGCTCGCGCCGGATTTTCCTTCGACCGGATCGATGTTCGCGAAGCAAACATCTGAACTCCAGGCGCCGGAAAGAGCGCCGCCCAGAGAGGCGCGGGGGAGACGGATCAGGGCATGGATCCTTGGGAAGGCGAAGGCACCGGCAAGGGCCCCGGGAAGAGGGACACCCCCGTTTATAGGGGTGTTGATAGCCAAGTTGCTGCTTTTTTCAGTCACTGTTGCTGGCTTTTGGGGTAAAGTGCATGGACCATGAAACAAACAGCAACCGTTGAGGTTTGCGGGGAAATCGGAAGGGAGATCTGGAACAGGTTGAGAGGTGATGTGGAGCGGAAGGAGACTTGTGCTTGCCATGGATGAAATATTTGTTGCCGTGGCATGGAGAAAGGCAAGGGTTCAAGTTCAAACACCGGGATGTTCGCGTACAGAGAACCCCAAGGTTTCGTAGGACATAGCCGCCTTCAAAAAGCTTCTCCTCGATATCCGGCTTTGGCCCGGAGCTCTGTACTGTTCAGCCGAAGGCACATTTGTCCCGGGCCGCTAGCAAGCTCAGGTGCCCGTAGTACTCACATCAAGTAGGCCCCGCACACTAGCTCTGAAAAGCTTTTTGCAAGTGTTAACCCCGGATTAACAAACCCCTGGTTGATTAATAGGGGGGTGTCCCCTTTTAGTGCGGATTCGGACAACTTTTGGAGGGAACACCCCCCTAATACTTAATACTGAGACGGGTTTATCAATCCTGGGTTAACATTGTAAATTGCGGAAGCATTTGTATTTTTCCGCCGCAAAGTTGGGCCATGCTTCGGGGAAAACCGAAGCGCCAGGACTGTTCTGGAAACGCCAGGCTGGGATGTTGGTTGCGGACATGTGAACCCCCCTGCTGGCGGTTTTCGTAGGCGGTTCTACTACCTGGTTGCATAGGGGGTATAATAAGGCATACACAAACCCCTACAACTATCTTAGAAGAACCAAAAGTCAATGAGTGTTGGGCGCTGCTCTCGAAGCAAGCGCGCGCTTTTTGAGTGTTGAGTCTCGGCCAAGCCGTTCCCAGCAGCAACGCTTGCCAGTAGAAGTGATGCATCGGTGTGTTTTCGAACCTTTTGTGGTTCCCTGGCTGGGTTCAGAATCAAAACGGGTAGCTGCGGGCCTGATTGAAGTTGATGTAATCCTCGAGCATTGAGCTCACCAGGTGGTCAACCGGCAGACCGACCGACCCACCTTAAAAAGAGTACCAAGCCTGCAAAAACACACACGCAAAAAAAGCAGAGGGCAGAGATGGCAGAATCAAAAGGCAAGCCACTCAGAAGCCACTTCAGTGATGTGTCGTTTTTGTGAGGCAGGTTTGCAGGACAACCAAAAGGTGAAAAGGGGCCGGCAAAACCCAATTTTCGGCTACCCACCATAAAGACAGCTTAAACCCACAGTAAACCCGCAACCCGAAGCCCACCCCAAACCCACTCCAAGTCAGCCCGAAACCAACCCTAAAGCAACCCAAGACAAACCCTTAAACCAGCCCTGAATGAGCTTAAACCACGGAGCCCGCTCAACCCTGCGAGGTCGGATACACCTACCGGGATTAGAAGGGCAATAGGCGGCGCACTTCCCGCCAGTTCTCCATCTAAACAGTTCTAGGTGACAGAACCGTAAACAGCCCGTTGAGCATTTAAGTGTTTGGCACGCTTGCGATCTTGATTGGCGTTTGAATGTGAAAGCACCCGTCTACACCCAAGCCGGAATGCATTGCGCCCTAAGCCAATCTATACCAACCCGAAGCCTCTACACCAGCCCAAAACCAACCCTTACAGTAACCAACGCTAAGGGCACTTTCAGCAAGCCTTGCAGCAACCCTAGACCCGCCCTCCATCCCTAAACTAACCCCAGAATCCTATCCAAGCCCTATACCGCCTAAGCCCACCCGCAACCAACCCTTGCCCTCAGCAAGCCCTAAACCGACTCTGAGCCCACTTTCCACTAAACCCAGCCGGAGCCACAACTAAACCCCCTAAACCGGCCCTGTACAGAAACTTCAAACCCACCCTAACTCATTTCTAAACAAACAAGCACCCCGAAAGCACCCTAAGCAAACCCTAAGCCACCCTAAAACCAACCTGAACGAGGCCTTAACACACCCTGACCCCACACAAGAGCAACCCCAGTGGCTTGGGAACGTGCCAACATGTGGTCACTGCAGTTGTGTGGTTAAGCAAACCCCTGGAACTGGTGGGGGGTTAATAATTACCGGGTCTTGCGAGCAAAGGAACTCTAACCCCACCCCAGCAAACGCAAAGCAAACCCTATACCAACCCTAAACCCACCCTAAACCCACCCTAAACCAAATGACCCAAACCTCAACCTTCCCTGCACAAACCCCAAGCGAACCCGGCCCAAACTTCTGGTGATGCCGAAAATGTTGAAAACGATGCTGGGATGCTGGGGATGCTGACGCTGCTGTGAAGTGTCGTAGAACATGCGGCAAAACACAGCATTCGTGGCCGCCGAGCCTGGGCTCCACTGCCATTGGGTTGGATCGTTAGACTTCAACTTTTTGGATTCCCCTCATATTTCCTTTTAGCCAGCAAAAAGTTAAACTTTTTGCGGGGGGATCTACAGCACCCAAGTAGGGCCGCTGCGCTGCGGCTAGGTGACCGGAGCGGTCTGCTCGAGCTCGAGGAGCGTCCGTCGCGTTTTATTTTTGGGCCCTAGGGTCAGACCTCATACTTTGTTGGGAGCCAGTTGTTGGAGCCCTCATGAAGAACAGGGCTAGGGCAAGGGTTTTGCCACAAGCACATTTTTAATCAAACAACATATGAGTCTGGAATCATTAGAATAATGAGAAGAAATAGCCTCATTGTAAGGCAAGCCGATTCGCCCCTGTGGCGCAGTTTCAGAGGAGCTGCAGTCACAGCTCGCGGATCGAATCTCTGCAGTGCTGGAGGCCGCGGGGTGGGTGGGATAGTCCCTGCCGTGCGGTTTTTGGGGCGTGTTCTTTTTGAGGGTACCCGTGTCTCTTTTTACGGGGCAACCAAAAGGAAAACCACCATTTTGGGGGGCTCCCTTTTGGAAAAGCGCACACACACACCCACCCACCCACCCACCCACCCACCCACCCACCCACCCACGCCCGCCCGCCCGCCCGCCCGCCCGCCCGCCCGCCCGCCCGCCAGCCCGCCCGCCGCCGCCCGCCACGCGGCCGCCACGCCCGCCCGCCCGCCACGCCTGCCTGCCCGCTCGCCACGCCCGCGCCACGCGCGCCAGCGGCGCCCGCGCTCCCGCGGCGCCAGCGCGCCTGCGCCCCAGCGCCCTCGCGCGAGCGCGCCCGCCTCGCGCGCCCGCACGCCGCCCACACGCCACGCACGCCGCACGCCCGCCCGCCCGCCAAGGAAAAGCAAAGACAGCCGGCCAACCGGCCAGCCGGCCAGCCGGCCAGCCGGCCAGCCAGCCAGCCAGCCACGGCACGACCACGCCACGGCACCGCACGGCACCGCACCTGCGGCACCGCACCACTCGCACCGCACCCGCGCCCGCGCGCCCGCGCCAGCATCCGCGCCAGCGCCAGCGCGCGCCCCAGCGCTTGCCCGGCGCCCGGCGCGCCACCCCACCGCACCGCACACACTTTGCCACCATACCGCACCGCACGCACCCTTCCACCCGCACCGCACCCATACACCTTACCTTAAAGCATATTTTTGTGCCTTGACACGCACCATACCCATGCCTTCCCTTACCTTCCATGTGCCCACCCATACCTGCAACCTGTGTGAGCGTTCATGACAGCTCCTGTGTGACTGCCAACCAACTACATATGACAGCCTCTTGTCCCTGCAGCAGCCAACCTCAGCCATGAGGCGTGAGCTCTGTATACTGTGCTATATGTGTGTGCCTTTTCTGTGACCTTGTGGCTTCTGCTGTGACTGCCAACGTTCAGCGACGCATCTTGGCCTGCAACCCAGCTAACAACCCTTCTGTTGCTGCTGCCCGTCTACCCCACTGACACTCACTGCTTAGCATTTCCTGTACTGCTCTGCCCTGTCTGTACTGCCCATATATAGCCTCTGCTGCCAACATGTAACCCCCATAAGTTCGGCGCACGCCTGCCCAGCACTGCCCTTGCCAGCGCGCCACGGCAACATGCACTGCACTTCTTGCTTCACAAGCCTGGAGCCGTTGAACACGTGATGCACTGCACGCCTGCACACATACGCACATACACCTGCATACACGCTTGTGTGTGCGCGCACGCACGCACACACACACACACACACACACACACACACACACACACACACACACACACACACACACACACACACACACACACACACACACACACACACACACACACACACACACACACACACACACACACACACACACACACACACACACACACACACACACACACACACACACACACACACACACACACACACACACACACACACACACACACACACACACACACACACACACACACACACACACACACACACACACACACACACACACACACACACACACACACACACACACACACACACACACACACACACACACACACACACACACACACACACACACACACACACACACACACACACACACACACACACACACACACACACACGCAAACACACCACCCAATTCTTCACATGGTGTTGGGTCAACCAGATTTTGAGTGTGACTCATGTGACACATGTCTCTGCTACCCTGTGCTTGTAGATGACAAAAGAGATCGGAGTGATCCGAGTCAGGGGATCCATGGGCTCTACGTGGGTTCGGATCGCCGCAGCACACGGTGTGTAGCATCCATCCCACGGGTCACCCAAATGTGGACCCCTGGTGGTCGCCTCAAACCGCTCAACCGGACCACTGAAATGGGAGCGCGTCCAAATCCCCGCCCTAAGAATCCGTCTTCCTTTCCGTCTTCCTGTTTTTAGCCAACAAAAAGGGAGGTGTTTCCGACAGACCAGATGTCTCACTGGTCACGAAGGGCCGTGAAGAAGCGAGATCGCGCCAGTGGATGGTTATGCTTCTACCGTTATGAGACACCGTTGGGCTCTTTCCTGCGTGGACCCACCCCGGGACCCCTGGACCCATCGCCATGTTAGATCCTTGGCGACTGGTTCCCTACAAGTAAGATTGTGGTTCCAAATTCCCATTAGGACAAGCACACAATAAATATATTTGTGTGGCTCAATTAGGCCGTAAACTAGAGCAAGGTTCATACCAGGGCGTTCGTCCATTGGAGTGAATCTCTTCGGCACGCTGAGGATGCGGAAAAGCCGGCTGGGAGCCTGAGACAAGCAAGAGACAGCTGGCTTTGTCTAGCAGGGAGACACACATGAGGTTGGGTTGAATTTCCCAGAACCAGTCTACCAGGAGGCAATCAGGAAGGGACAGAAGTCTTGTTGGTGGTTCTCAGCGAATGAGTTGGAATGATGACCCTGAACTGAGCCATCTAACCAGTGGTTTCCTAGGGGATCCCGACACCAGTCATTCCCAAAGCCCGTGCTTCACGATTTTTCCTAGGGAACCAACAAGTTTAGCTTAGTGCTCAAACCACATGTGTCGCTTGCGGTTCTTGAGACCCAACCTTTGGGGTTGAAAACGGCGCTCAGGCTGAAAACCAGCCTCGCGCCAGCCGGAGCCTGAGCGCATGCGAGCGCGCCATGTTGGTTCGGGTACCTGGTTGAATTGGTTGCTGGAAAACCTCTGCCATTTTAGTAGAGCCAGAACGGGTTTTGGGCGCGTGACAGCCGTGAGTGAGTAGTAGCGGGCAGTAGCCATCAATAGGTGCAAATATCAAGAAGCTCTCTTGATCCTTATGATTTTGGGTAGACCCCGACCAGGATTTGACTCTGTCCTTTTGAGGTTATCCTTTTTGGATAGTTTTAAAGGGAAGCTAAACGGACACCAACTGTGTTGGGGGTTCCTTTATTTTGAGACACATCGACTCGTTTTCGGCTCGCCCAAGGTGAGCCACAAGCGAGGGTCAGGAGCGGTGTCTCAAGCGCAAGCTTTGCATATGGCACCTTGGAGTTCCCACAACGAACACCGAAATGATGTCCACCAAAGAGCCCCCGCTCAAGATTCATTCACATGGCCGTGGGTCACAACCAACAGTACCATTTTGGGGTAGGTGCACCACCCATTTTAGTCTATGTTAGTGGGGATTGGGATGTTCACTGGGGGTACGATTTGGGTTTTGACCCATGGCCACATGTGCCGTGCCGTAGCCAGAGTGGGAAGGTCATCTAAGACAATGCCTCTCCAATGGCTTTAAATCAGTATACGAACCAGGCACATGGGGTGAGAACCACCAAAACAAGGCTGTTTCTTTTGTTTTTTTCTTTGAAACAACACCAAAAACGGTCCCTCGAAGAAGAAGACGAAAGAGAAGAAGAAGACACAACCACATGCGGCGCGAATATTTTGTTTCTTTGAATTAGGAACTTTGGATTCCTATGCTATTATGGTTCATGGCAGTGGATGAGAGGCACTTGACATTTTGACACTTAGTTGCAACAACTCGGGTGCACAGGTGTCCTTCGACCTGGTGTTCCATCTAAATACTTCTCCGCAAAGACCCACCCTTCCTCTCACTCCTGGAGAATGCCTGAAGGGTCAGTTTCCTCTTGGAGGGACCCCCTGTCAGGTGGTTTGGAGGGTGCCTCTCATCCCGAAGGTTCCCAGGGTCGATGATCAAATCTTCCCCTGGCAGAAGTCCATCGAGTGAATTCAGGTCTCCATTTTGCTGGTGTCGGAGGTCTTTGGGGTGAGTTGTTCGTGGGACAGACAAGGGTGGCTCGTCTTTTTGCAACAAGTACCCCAAAAGGGCGAAACACGGTTTTCTTGATGGTGTTTCTCTTTAACATCCGCAAATGGGGCAGGTGTCTCCTTCTTGTTCTTTGCTCATTGGCAAAGCAGGCCAAAATGCTCAGAGACATTAGGCTAAGAAACCCTAGAACCCTGAGACCTTTTCTTCCTGTCGGGGGCCCTTCGGCGTCCTCCCTTCCCGTCGACATGAAACCAACAAAGCCCCGTTGTTGGTGAAAATTGTGAAACCAACCATCCATGTTGGGAACCTTGTTTCCTTGTTTTCCTGTGTCAAAATAGGGCTGCCCCTCAAGAATTTGGGTTTGAAGAATTTGGGGTTTGGCTTCCCTTTTCTCCAGGGAGGGGTATTTTCTTTTAGGAATTCCAAGCCCTTTCTCCAGCCCACATCTCGGCCACTCCAAACGCCACGTGCGCCAGTCCGGTGCCGGTGCCGCTGCCGCTGCCGGTGCCGGTGCCGCCGGCGCCAGCGGTGCCCGAGCCGGCGCCGCGCGGGGAGGCTCAGTGCACCATGTGCGCATCTAGTGGGAAATCCCCACTTAGCTGCTAAGATTTAGATATTTGCTCCCCTTCCACCGTCAACCAAGGATCTCTGCCAGCTACTGGGCTTTGGACTTTAACTTTGCTGGGTTGTTTGGACTTTAACTTTTTGCCAACTAATGGGTTTTCCGAATTAAACCACTAAAAGTTATACTTTCAGCAGGGGAGCGGAAAGCAAACGAGATAGCATTTCTTTACCACGTCGAACCTCCATCGGACATGCTTCAAGTATGGGATGTCGCGCTGCTTGGCGCTCCCCGCTGGACTTTGGAGATTCCCTTTCTGTGACAAAACAAATATTTCTCGACTGCAGCTTTAATCAATGGAGGTCGGCACCAGAAGCTTGGCTCAGGTCCAGAAGCCTTGCGCCAGGAGTTGCAGGCTGGGTGCAAGACTTTCGAGCGCCTGCGGAGTGGATCTTCAAGCTTCTGCTTTGGGAAAATGGGAGGTCCCTTTTGGAAAACCGAAGCCATGTTTTGGGGGTTCCTAAAAACAAAGACACCACCTGCAAAAGTTTTGGGCGGGGTCCTGCCAAGGTTGGGACGTCGCCTTGCAAATCCGTATGCTTTCCAAAGTGGTGGACCCGATTTGGGTGGCAGTTGGGAAACGAAGCATGGCGGACCACTATTTTGAGAAGCCCTCTCATGTATGCGTGTTTTGTTGGTGCCTCTTTTTGGATTCAGGAAACATGGGCAAACCACCCGTGGGTTTCCTTCGTTTCAAGACAAACCCATTTTTGGGAAGCCCGTTGGGTTGGTTTGCAAGCATGTTGTGGATGGATGAATTCCACTTCGCACTTGGGATGGTTGAACTCGGATGTGAATACGCGCTTGACGAAGCACGTGCCGATCGGTGTGGATACTTTTTGCCGTGTTCGGGGCCCGAGTCGCATTGCCGGTTTCCGGGCTCAAAGAGGTTGCGTTGGGATGCCAAAGATCAGGTAGCACCTTTGGATCCACCTACTGCGACCCCACCCTTGAGCCGAAAGGATCAGGTACTTTGAGCGGTGAGCAACGCAATCTGCAGGAACTCAGCAACATCCCTGCGAAAGGATCAGATCATGTTGAACATATTCATCAACCCGCCAGTTTATTGATCTGGGGGTGGTTTTTGGCCCCTTCCCGTAGTGGTCTGATTCCCCACTCAAACCAGGACATCCTATGCATAAACTGGACTGTTCGAAGTCAGGCCGCCTGGGCCGCCGGCGCTGCGGCGGCCCGCGCCGCCATCGAGACACCCAAGCCGGAGGCGGAGGGGCCGGCTCGGTTTTCAGATCGACCGGGGTCGGTTGAAGTGTCCTTTTTGGGTGAGTCTGGCTAGAAGTAGATGGGTTCCGCTGGCTTAGATTGGTTTTATTCCATTTGCCAGAGCCATCCACTTTTCCGAAAGGCCACCTATGGCCATGAATAAACCAAAGGTTTGCAATCTAAATGGCGAATTTGAAAATCAATGGTGGTGTTTTGAAGTTTCCTTTTGTGATGTAAGGGGACGTGGTAATGTTTGTGGAGGGCTTCTCTTACTCGTTCGACTCGAAGACCCACGTGGCTGCACTGATCTGTTTTGTTCATTTTCGCAGTTGGGTGGTTGCTGCTGCCCCACACACACTCCGCAGAAATGTGGTTAACTTCCTCAAGAAAGTCCTCCAGCGTTCCACTGGGCTTGTCTCGAAAGCGGATCCAAGCTGTTAGCACTTGGCACACAGTGCTCCGACAAAGAAATCTCAGCATACTACTTTAGCAGGTGTTCCAACGCCAAAATCTGAATGTTTTGAGAGAAGGCCGAGCGACCAGGGCGACCAAGATCGCTTCGCGTTTTTTTCACCTCTCCATCTACAGCAACCCGCCTCTCAGTCCCGTGTCCGTGCCGGCGCTGATTTCTAGTTTCTGCAGCGCGCCCTTCCTTTCGGATTTTAATTTTCTATCATGAGCCGATTTGGGCCATTGTGAAGGATATGGATTCGACGTACTGTGGATGGACAAAATCTATTTCGCACCACCTAAGAAGCCCTGGTTGCTGATAATTCCCCTGCAAGCACCAGCAAGCAAACGTTAGGGTTTCCCATGGCTTCAAGATCGGATTTCATCCATCCATGGTATTTTCATGGTGTGATCTAGTCCGTCAGAGTTTGAGAGTTTGAGGCCCAGAAGCTCGGAACAGCTGCGCAGTGCGGAAAAAACAAAAACAAAAACACCCGGCAGAGAAACACACAGCTTCCCGGCTCCCATGGTGCCGTGGGATGTTTTTTTGCAGTTGGCAAATGCGGACAGGAGAAGGTGGAGCCGCTGACAGCTGGCCCGGCAAGGAGCAAGCTTTCAGAAGGCGCCAGCGAGTGGAATTCTTAGGGCTGCGGTGTTTTGAGGGTACCCCCTATTCGTTGGCTTTGAAGGGAAAGGAACGCCACCCATTTTGAGGGTTCTTCCTTTAGGACATGGCCGGCCTACGGATTTTTCACGGGTGACGTTGCTTCACTGGCTTGGCGCTCGGGGAGGTGAGGTCATGCGGAAGCCTTTCGTGGCTTTTCGCCGCCGCCGCGTCTGCGTGGCCTTCTGTGGCCCTCGCCTTGCCTTGGTTTCTGCGTGGGCGTGGAATGCTTCGCCCACTCCGCTTAGCGCCTTTTTGTGGAGCGTGGTCCTACTTTGCTCACTTTGCTTCCTGTCATGGCCCCGCTGTGCATGCGTGGCCAGTGTGGCCGGCTTCCTCTGCCCCCTGCGTGGCCTTGCTTCGTCTAGTTTGCTTCCTGTCTTGGCCCCAGCGTGCCGCTGCGTGGCCTTGGCGTTCCGGCCGTACTTTGTTTATATGCTTCCTTCCGTGGCCCCCCCCCCCCTGCATGGCCTTCGACCGACCGACCGACCGACCGACCGACCGACCGACCGACCCACCAACCAACCAACCAACCAACCAACCATGTGCGACAGATGCGTCAGACATGTCTGCGGTGGGTCCAGGCCAGAAATTAGTGCCTCGAAGGAAGTGTTGTATTGCGGAAGTGTTGCCAGAATGGCGCGTTGTGAAGCACCGCGCTGTCAAAACCAAGTCTTTAGCAGATAAGCCTTCGCGTCGCAGCAGCCTGGAATGCCGGCTGAACATATGCTATCTCCAAGCAGCCAACTCCTGCGCACAAGATGGCATGACGGGAGTTGAGCGCCGAACTCAACAAACATCATGCTTGGTTAAGCTTGAGCTCTTGGCAAGACAGCGTGTGTCACTGCATTGTTGAGGTTGAATCGAGGAGCTCTGTTCGTCTTGATCCATGACCAACTTAATCCCTTCCACAGTGCTGCCATTGGGCCAAACGACTGACCTTGACAAATATGCCCAGAGACTTCACCGTAGCAACGTCAAGCCTTCTTTGCCCAATTCTCAGTGGAGAAGGACGTGCGCAGGCAGTGGCAAGTTTTGCACTGGCTGGCCAGTTTAATTGTGAACGTGGCGTAGTAGTAGTCGTCGTGGTCGCAGTCGCCGTCGCAGTCGTAGCTGTAGTCGTAGCCGTTGTAATCGTAGCAATCGTCGTAGTCGTCGTAGTCGTCGTAGTCGTTGTAGTCGTTGTAGTCGTTGTAGTCGTATGCGTAGACTTACACGAAGTTCTCTTCTTGTCGGTGTCGCTGTCATCGTGGCCGTCGTGGTTGTGTGTGGTTGTGGCGCTTCGGGGCTTCTCCTTGGGACTCCGAAAAAGGCAAACCGCAGAAAGCGCAAGCACACAGCACATGGGGCAAGCGCCATGGGAAAAACCACGCCGAAATCCGACACCGGGAGGCTCCAGCGCTGCGCCGCTGGTGCTGACGCCCACATACTTCCACTTCAGGAGCCGCATTCGATGGCTCTCCCAGGAAAGCCTATTCTTATGAGATGTATGGTTGTATATCCCATCACTGGAGGCAGTGGGGCTGATGGTAGGATAGCCTTACGTAGTCACCATATTATGCTTCTACATCGCATCAGCTGGAGGCAGTGGTTTGGGGGTAGATACCATCTTGGACTGATGCGCTGCACGGCCAATTGTGCCAGGGGACCCTGTCAACGGACACAGGTTCTGATCGCTGGCGCCAAAGGACACTGCGTGTAGTGCTAGAACCCATTCAACGAGTCACCAAAATTGTTCCCACGAGGGTGATACATTTCGTAGGAATCCTCAGATTCAACATCCACGTTGTTGGCTTGAATGTGGAAAATGTCCAAATTCAAGGCTCTGTCTTTTCATCCACCAAATTGCCAGAGCCTCTTGACGCATGGTGCTTTTCTGCGTATCCGCGTCCCATGTTGAGCCTGGTGTTGCGGAAATTCCGGGCGTCCTTTTCCAGGCTGGCTGCAGTCCAAAAACACGTCAGCGAGGGGTGGGTGACATTGGGCATATCGCCAGGGGAAAAGGATGTCAGGGCATGAAGGACCTTGGCTCCTTTTTTTTGGCTTCTGGGTGAGCTCATGCAGGTCTGCTAAACCTAAGCTCTTCCAAACCTGCCAAGCTTTGACCTCAGATCTAAGAATTGGTGAGCTCCAGTCAGGACAGACCAGTGAGCTGAGCCTGGGAGCGAAAGGAGAGCCTGGACGAAGTTGCGGAGCGCGAGCATGGCACCTTCCGGTCAGGGTGACCATTTGGATACCCTGCTAGCCATGGAAAAAACAAAAACACATTGGCATCCGTAATAATGTGAATTTGGACTCCCTGCTAGCCATGGACCAAAAAAACCAATCAGTTGGCTTTTTTTTAGTGAGTCTGTGAGCATCCATATTATGTTGTTTTTCTCGACTGGGTCCAAACCTGCCGGGGTACTTCCGGCGTTAGTGAGGTGATCACCTTCCGGCGATGGTGCCGTCTGCTTGTGCTTGTACCATAGGTCCCTGGTGCTAAGGGCTGTGCACAAAATTGCCTCTTAGAGGCATTGCGTCTCTGGCACCCGAGAAGTATCTTCAAGCGCTGACTTGGTGCTTTGGGTTGGTGGCTTGGATTTGGATTTGCACCCTGGCTTTGGTGGATACGTAAATGGGGTGAACCACCCATCTAACTTCCAAACTACCCTTCTTTGGGGTATGCTATGACCTGTACGGCTGGTTCCTGTGCCCTGGAGGGCATAGAAACGTCACAAGTCACAAGCCATTCTGCACTTGCCCTGGCGAAATTTTGGAATGTGGCTTGTCCGGCAACTAAACTATGTGTCAGCCAATATTTACCCTCCCACCAATTAACATGGAACCCGACAGAGGGGTCCTGGAGGACTATTTTCCTTTTAAAGGGACCCCCCTGTCAGGTTCCATGTTAATTGGTGGGAGGGTAAGTTGCTTGAAGTTTTTATCACCGCAACTGAACTGAGACGGATTGGCGCCCTTTCTTTCAGCCAAGGTGAGCAATACCGAAGTGAGGAGAAAGCTCGGACCGCCAGCTGGGCACCTCGTTGTAAAAGTTCATTTGAGCCACAATCAAAACCCGGTAGATGAAGGTTAGTAAGGGATAATCCCAACCACAAATAGCTGCGGCCGCCTTCTTAATTCTTTACATGGTTCTGGGTAGACCATTTTAATACCGGGTTTTGATTATGGCTCATTTGGCTCATGTTTTGTGGGTATCGAAGCCAGAAACTGGGGCTGCGGATTGAACCTACCACCTAGGGGTGACTTTAGGCTGAATCGGGCCAGTGCTATGCAACAGGTGCACAGCCCGAGCCCTTAGCGCCATGAAGGCTGAAGAGTGGTCAATGACCTGTGCCGTGCGGCGAAGAAAAGATCTCGAGACGCGGACGCAGAGACCTCCGAAAGACGATGCAGCCAGAAATAAACGCGTTTTTTCAACACAGGGGATTTGCACCCTTGCACTTCAGTCAGTATTGCTATCTCATCCACCCCGACTGGTGCTTGGCTTGAATTTTGCCATCATTTCTATGGCTTTCGATCTGCTTGCCACGGACTTCGAAGGACTGGCGGCTATGTAGGTGTTGTCTCAACTTGGTATGGGTCAAAATTAAACCAACAGGGGACTGCAGGTTTTGGTCCATGTTTCTACTTACCAGGGTTCCATTTTGGGTACATATTCTTGACCCACAGCCATGTAGGCTGTGTCTCAACATTTCCAGAGTCTGCGGTTCGTTTGGGAGGGACGAGAGGGGACGCGCTCCAAATTCGACCAGACACAAGCAACTAGGAGACTCACTGAGTTTCCCATGTCCTCTTGGGGAAGTGAGTAGTTTTGTAAAACCGCGGCTCATTTGTCTGCGGGTCTTAGGAATGTGTCAGAAAGATGGATACCCAGCTGCTATGCCAGATGATCGGTTCCGCAGCCAGTTAGCAACAACATGTGCGCTACGTGGGTGTTAGCTTTTTGATGCTTTGCGTGGCATCGCTGCTTGGATGCAGTTGGCCCCAACTGAGTCACAATCAAAACCCGGGACAATCCCAACCAGAAATGGGTGCGGCTGCCTTCTTGATTGTACCCGGTACCGAACTCAACTTATGTTTCTTCCCGCGTCCTCACATCTTCTGCATCCCGGTGCCCTTGGCCACTCCTCGGCTCAAAAGGCCACACGGACCCCGAAACACCCCTTACGAGCGCCTGCTCGTTCCATAGGCAGCGGGGAGAATGACTCCTCTGAACCGTTCCAACTGATTCCTTCAAGTTGGAGAATTCTCAGGTTCATCTAACCCCTCACAAGATTCCCTGATTACCAGCAGGGGTGGTTTAAAGCATTTGGGGGTTCATCATCTCCCCAAACAAGGATATCTATATATATATATATATGTATAAAGCAATACTAAATTGGTTTGGTTTCCTCTTGGCTTCAAGGGTTCCCCCAAACAAAAGGCCACAGCCACCACATTTTTATCCGGGTACTCTTGACTTCCCCGATTCCCCCTTCCCCCGGTTGCCAAAGCGCCCAGAAGTCGTGCTTCCAGTCGCCAGGGTTTTGGCTTCAAAAAGCTGAGGCCTGAGAGCATGAAGCTTTTTGGTATCCCCAAGCGCGAGGACCGGCCTTGCGACAGCTGTGTATTTGCGTGTGTGTGTGTGCGCACCCGTGTGTACCTGTGTGTGTGTGTGTGCGCACCCGTGTGTACCTGTGTGTGTGTGTGTGTGCGCACCCGTGTGTACCTGTGTGTGTGTGTGTGCGCACCCGTGTGTACCTGTGTGTGTGTGTGTGCACCCGTGTGTGCCTGCGCACCCGTGTGTACCTGTGTGTGTGTGTGCGCACCCGTGTGTACCTGTGTGTGTGTGTGTGCGCACCCGTGTGTACCTGTGTGTGTGTGCGCACCCGTGTGTACCTGTGTGTGTGTGTGCGCACCCGTGTGTACCTGTGTGTGTGTGTGCGCACCCGTGTGTACCTGTGTGTGTGTGTGTGTGTTTGTTTGTTTGTTTGTTTGTTTGCTTGTGTGTGTGTGCGTGTGTGTTTCGAGGGCACCATTGTTCAGGATTTCCACAGGAGCCATCATGACCCACATAACGAGTTTTGACCGTGGCACGTGTGTGTGGGTTCCGTTTCTAGTCCAAAGACCTTTTGTCAAAATGCTCCAGGGCAAGCCACTACCCATCATATGAATGCTCGGCGGCTACATCCGAGGGATATCCAAGAGTCACATTTCAGGGCTTCTCAAAGTCGTCCAAACACGTGGCCAACGTTTCTTTGGGATGCCCCAAAGCCAAGCAAATGTGCCACACTCAAACCCGGGTAGATGAAGGTTAGGGACAATTCCAACCACAAAAATGCGGTCCCTGTGTTATCTCTTCACACGATTGGGTTCACAATGTTTGTTGGGCTAAAGCGTTAACCGCAGGTGGTCGCTTGTCTTGACTCTTTATAAGTGTCCACTTGGGCCACCATTTTGGCTCAAGTGGACACTGCCCTTCTGTCTTGTAATCTGAAATCTTTCTTTCCCCTCCTATCAAAGCCATGTACGCCCCCGCCTACGCTGGTGCCGCGGTTGCAGAGGCCAAGGCGAAGGCAAAGGCCTCCATGGCGAAGTACCTGGCAAGCCTCGTGAAGAAGGAGGAAGAAGGATGGACCGTCTTGGCTGCTGAGGTCCCTCAGGCACCTGACGAACGGTTCTTCTCCAGCGCCGACGAGCTGGAGCAGGCCCCACTCATCCCAGCCAAGCGCAAGGCAGAGGACGAGCTGATGGCAGACTCAGCCCCTGGGGTGGCGCAGGTGCCGAAGGCCCTGACACGCCCCCCAGGGGCGTTCCTGGAGCTCCTAAACCCGCCAGAGCAGGATGTTCCCATGGAGGAACTCCTGGCGGAAGACGAGGAGGAGCCCCCGATGTCCGACACCAAGTGGCAGAGACGCCATGACCTGATGGCAAAGGTCAGGGAGCAGGCGTCCTCGGAGGAGGATGAGGACCCCGCAGCCCCCTTGCCGGGGGGAAGCGTCTTCACCAAGGCCCTCAAAGTCTCTGAGGGCCTTTACCAATTCAGCAAGGACCAGATGGCGGGCGACTTCCCGTGTTTTGATGCGACCACTAGGCTCCGCCGACTGCAGGCCAAGGACGTCCAGCGGCTCCTGAGAGGCTTTGAGGGCCCCCAACTCAAGCGGGGGCCTGGAGCCGGAGGCGTTCTACATCGCCAAGATGAAGTATGAGCATGAGGCCCGGCTCAGCACCCCGGGACAGCAGGTCGGCAAGCGCGCTGGCCTGGGGTATGGGGGCCTGGAGAACCGCCCCCTGGGTAAGGAGCCCACATCCTGGATCTGCCCCTGCTGCACCATGCCCTGGGTGAAGAAGGGCGCCAGGAAGTGTATGGGGTGCGGCAAGAAGACGGAGCCCATTGACACGGCGACCAACTTGGCCACCCTGGAAATGGCGGGCACGCACTGGCAGCTGACAGTGGATGATCAGGGCAATGCGGTCTGGACGGCGGCCCGGTCCGTAGGTGCCGATGGCCCTGATACGGACCGGGCCCGCGACCTCAAGCTCAGCGCCTCGGTGGATGTCAGCGAGCTGGCCACCGATCCGATGGCATGCGAGAACCTGGACCAGGCCAGCTTCTCGGACTTTGTCCCCTCCTCGGTCCGGGCGGTGATCAGGAACTGCCCCATGGAGCTGGACGAGGATTTCCTGACGGCCCCAATGGGGGAAAGGCCTCCGTTGCCGGGCGACAAGGAAGAGGGCCAGGAATGCAGGGCCTTCCACCCGTCGGCAGTGAAGGCTTTCAAAATCCAGACCCGGCTCAACGCCACCACCATCGCCCAGGAGGAGGTCAAGAAGGCAGACCAGGTGGCAGCGGTGGAGCGATCCGCGGCGGTCCTCCACGAGCTTCAAGGAGGGGGGTGGATAGAGCAGGTGCCGAGGGCCCTGACACTCTTCCCCCCGTGCCTCAAGGCAAGACGGCAGGAGGAAAGGGCGCAGGTGCCGAGGGCCCTGAGACGCCCTCCCAGGCACCCCCCAGGGTCCGCAGCAGGACAGTTGCACGCACAGGTGCCGAGGGCCCTGAGATGCGGCAGCGGGACCCCACGGCATACGGGGAAGGAGGACCTCCCCAACGACCAGCTCGTCCGTTGGTATTGGCAGCTGATGCGATCCGTCCGTTGGGAGTGGCATCAATCCTACTCCCATCAGCTGCTGAGGGGAGCTGCCCAGTGGAGCTGGGCAATCCTCCCATTTTGGCACTAACCCTTATGCGGCAAAAAGGAGGCACCGTTTTGCGAATAAGGCCTCAGTAGCACCAGAGTGGTGCTTTAAAGAGTCTGGGCTAAAGCGTTAACCGCAGGTGGTCGCTTGTCTTGACTCTTTATAAGTGTCCACTTGGGCCACCATTTTGGCTCAAGTGGACACTGCCCTTCTGTCTTGTAATCTGAAATCCCGTGGCGGCGACGCCGGATGAGTTGGTGGCACCACCACAGGAGGTTCCCGAAGCGTACACGGACGCAGTGGCCAAGCTCCACAAGACCGCCAGGAACCTCATGGTCCTCAAGGGCATCCCGTGGTTCATCCAAGCGACGCTGTCTGATGAGGGCTTTGTCTCGATGGAGGACCTCGCGACCCGGTGGGACTCGCCCGACCGGGCAAGGGAGACGGCGCCGAAGGAGTTGGGCTTCGCCCCCAACAACCACCACTACACGGATGTGACCTCCCGGCTGATCGCGGCCCGTATGTTCCAGGTGGTTCACGCGGCTCAACGATCCATGGGAGTGGGGGCACATGCAACATCGGGACCCGGGCCGCACACGCCCGGGGACACTGCCCCGAATCTCACGGTCTCGTGCGAACGGGGACAGCTGGAGAGGGTTTGGGAGGAGAAGACCAAACTCACCAAACCCAAGCTGGCCCTGCAAGGAAGCGACCAGCTGATGAAGCGCCAGTTCAAACTCTGCGCGGGAGGCGAGATCGGCTTCATCCCCATGAAATACCTGGTAAGCGCACTCCCGGAACGGCCATGGAAGACCGCCAAGAAGACCACGGTTGATGGCTGGGACCGGGAGGACGAGGTGGAAGAGCGGGGCGAGCCGAAAACTCGCCACCAGCTCGAGAGGATGCACGCGGTGTTCCGCAACACCCTCCTCATGTGCGTCCTCTCGTTTCCGCAGTTCGGCCAGTTCGACATCACCCGGGAGGACCTGGAGAGCTGGTACGAGTGGTTCTATGGGGAGGACATCGGGGGCCGTTTTCCCCCGCCCGAGGACCACGTTCTGGCAATTGCCGAACGCAACGCATGGCGGAAGATTCACGAGCAGATGCACGAGGGCAGCACCCTCAAGGCGGCCATGCTGTCGGTCAGGCAGGACACATTGTTTTGGACACGTGAGGTCTATGAGAAGATCAGGACCTAATCCCGGGGCCGCCCACAGACCAGGACATCCATGGACTACGCACCACCCCAGAAGGGCAAGAACAAGTCCAAGGGCAAGGGGAAGTCTAGGGGCAAGCCTGGGAGCAAAGGGAAAGGTAAGCCCCCCCAGCCGAACAATCAGGCGTCCAGGGGCGGTAACAAGCAGGCGGCCACCGATCCGAAAGGGAACCAGTTCTGTAACAACTGGATGCGCGGGCGCTGCCCGGGCAACTGCGGACGCACCCACAAGTGCAACCTCATCCTGGCAACGGGCCGCATCTGCCTGGGAGACCACCTCCCGCAGGACTGCCCGGGTTGACTAGGGGCGCTGACCCCGACCCCCCGGGAGGCCTCAGGTGCCGAGGGCCCTGATAAGGCCCGGGGGGGCGAGAGGGGGCGCAAACGCCCCAAGCAGGCACATGAGCCCCCTCCTGCAGGTGCCGAGGGCCCTGACACAGGGGGGGGACAGGCCAGGTGGCGGCCATCCTCGGCGGAACAAGGATGGGGACGGCAGAACCAGCGTGCACAACACCCCCGCTGGGGTCAGAACAACCACACAGCTGGCACAACGGCGGCGCCGCAGCCCCGAGCCACAGGTGCCGAGGGCCCTGAAACGGCAGGGACGGGACGGTTCCCCGCAGGTGCCAAGGGCCCTGACACGGGGGGCCGCGCCCAGCAGGCCCGATTGCCGGACAACTGGCAGCACACCGCAACGCCAAGGAACACGCCCAGGAGGCAGCCGATCCCACTTCCGGCGCCCAACATCATCAAGCAGGACCCGGTGGTTTTTTATAAGAGCTCGGTTGGGCTGAATGAAGGGGGCCAGCGCCTTTCAGCTACCCCCCTGACAAGTCCCACGGAGCTGTCACCGGGATGGGACATCTTCCCGTGGATGGAGAACATCCCGGAGCGTCTGGTACAGCGGCTGAGATGGACACAGGGCACATCGCCCAAAGTTCCATCCAGTGGGCCCATCATTGTCCTGCTCTATGCAGGCAAGGAAGACCCAACTTCCTTGGACAGCTGTCTTCATGCCAACTACCCACACCTTTCCAGCATGGTGGTGGCGGTAGACATCCTACGATCGGGACCAAAAGGGACCACGACATGCTCCAACCCGAGCTGTATGGAGCTCTCTGCACGGCAGCAAAGCAGGGCCGAGTGGTCTTCATTGGAGGAGGACCCAACTGCAGGACATGGTCCATCCTGCGCCACATACCAAAACCGGGGGCCCCCACCCCGGTGCGAGGGCGCACTCGAGAGACACTTTGGGGCCTCCCACACCTGGACCAGGCCGCCCAGACTCAGCTTGATGATGACAGTATCCTCATTTTGAGGCAGATGTACATCACCAGCCTGGCAAGGGCCTCAAGATCGGCGGTTTCTCTGCCAGGGCCAAAGTCCTTCTTGGAGCACCCGGAGGACCCAGTGGTGAGCAGCTCGCTGCCCAAAGCCAAGGAATGCTCATCCTTCTGGATCACGGAGGAGGGGCAGCTTTGGATGGAGGAAAACTCCTTGACAGCAATCTCCTTCGACCAGTGCCGCCTGGGCCAGCTGGTCAAGAAGGCCACTACACTAGCCACGGATCTCCCAATTCATGACTGGGATCAAATGCGGTGCACGCATCAGTCACATGTGGGCACCAACGAGTCCTCGACTCTTAGCAGATACCCTTGGGATATGATGGCAGGCCTGGCCAAAGCCATCGCTGTGTCACTCGCAGCGCCGGGGCACATCCGGATCCCCTCACAATTCCCGAAAAACCCTAAGAAACCACCTAAGGGGCGACCCCCCGGAGGGCCCTTCTCCCCGGGGAAAACGGGGACCCAATCAGGGAGGCGGTCCCTCCTCATCACACCAGGGCCCAAAGCCCGGAGGCAAGAATGCCCCGAAGCCCCGCCAGCACGGGCACATCCACCTTGAGGCAGACACCGTAAGCCCTCGTGGAACAATGAACCCAGACTTCCCATCTCCCATGCCCCCGATGGCCGGAGATGCGGAACAACTGGGGAAGGAAGAACATGGGGACCAGGTCCTGGACCGCCCCGAATGCCTGCCCGCTTTCAGGGTCCCACGCCTCATTGACCGAGTTGCGATTGTCCAATTGGGTTTCCGCTCACGCCCCCTGAGGGATGGGGGGGGGAAACCTTCCCCGGGGAGGCTCAACCCCCCCTTTCGGAGAATTTCCTTCATCATCCTCAAGGCGGATGTCACCAAGGCCCACAAAAGTGCTCCCGAAAGACTGGAAATACCAGGTGGCCTGCATCCAAAACCGGTGGTGGGTCAACAGAGTGGGCACGTACGGCATGGCCTCGGCACAACTGTACTGGGGAAGAAAGGCATCCTTGGTGCTCAGACTCTTGTACTACATCTTCCCTCAGGTGGACTGGCACTTAGTCTTTGTGGACGACTACTGCTGGGTCCTCAGATGCAGCCGGGCGGACTGGGACGCCACAGCCATCCTGGCTACACTGCTGGCGCTGGGAGTCCCGCTTTCCTGGAAAAAGACGGCGCTCTCCCCGATCAATACCTGGTTGGGCTTTGTGGTGGACCCAATCACGCCCTGTGTACTGCTGGCTCCAGTCAAACACGTCATAATCCTGGCCACTCTTAAACGGCTGGCCCAGGGGGACATCTTCACCAGCAAGGAGGTGGGCCCTAGGCCGTATTCAATGGGCTACTTCGGCGTGCCCATTGACGAAACCTTTCCTCCAGCCTTTTTGGAGCTGGAAGAAGGCCTGCACCACTTCGGGCAGGCCACCGAAGCTGGTTCGTGCTCTGGCCATCCTTTTGGGGAGACTCTTCAACCAGAGGTTCCCACTGATCTCCGTTTGCTCCCACACTCCCATGGACGGGGGCATCTGATGCGGGAGCTGGCAGACAGGCGGACCATGCATGGGTTGGTTGGTGCTCGGACGTGCCCAACCCCGACAAGTCCCGTGTGAAGTGGTTCCAGCACAGAATCACACCGGAGGGCGAGCCGTGGGCCTTCACTACTGGGGACCCGCAGCGGGCGATAGCGGCCTTGGAGCTCTTCGGCCTCCTCCTTTTGGTGAGGGCCGTTCTGCTTTGTGCAGCCGGCTCGGCTTCTCACACTAGGATCCTGGTTGCTAGTGATAACCAGGGAAATGTTTTCTCCCTTCTTAACGATTCCACTCGCAGGATGCCCAATGCGGCCATCCTCATGGAAATTGTGCTAACGCTGCATGACCAGCAGGTCATGTTGGGGCCGTCGCATGTGAAGCGCGACTTTAACACGTGGGCGGATGAACTTACTCATCCGGACCCGCAATTTCCGACTGAGAACCGGGTCTTCCCCTCAGTCGAGAGCGAATTGATCACACTGATCTTCGCTACTTTCCTTCCTCACCCATGATGCCGGGAGGGCATCCGGTGAGGTGGGAGGATTCCTCCCTCGCTGTGGGAGTGGCATCAATCCTACTCCCATCAGCTGCTGAGGGGAGCTGCCCAGTGGAGCTGGGCAATCCTCCCATTTTGGCACTAACCCTTATGCGGCAAAAAGGAGGCACCGTTTTGCGAATAAGGCCTCAGTAGCACCAGAGTGGTGCTTTAAAGAGTCATGTTTTTGTACCGATCGGTTTTAATTATTCTATGATTTATTTCCCCATTCACTTCCCATCGTTCTCTTTAGACACCACCTGTTTTCCAGGGGTTTGGAAACCATTTTTTGAAGAGAAGGATCCCTGAAGACTTGGTGGCTCCCAGC